CTCCGTATTGCATGAGAGCAACTTTTCTAGCTCTAAACCTAATTTGGGTAAAACAGATCCAGATAAGCTGACTTGACTGTGTAACATCCAGTCTGAAAATATTTATGCTTATACAAAAGGAAAAAAGTCAATACAGTAAATACCAAAGTTGTAGTCATATCTAACGAGTACAAAAACAGAACTTTGTGATGCAAAGACTACTGACTGACTGTTTGCTGAACTCAGAAGCAGAACTCCAGCCCCTCACTATAATATTTAATCCGCAAAGACAATTCTGCTGCAGAAAGCTGGCAGCAGCTCCTGCTGATGGCGAGGTTCAGTAGCCCTCCAGGGGCTCTTGTTCAACAGCGCAGTACTCTTGTTTTTTGGTTTTGCTATTTTTTGCAGTAGGAAATGATCTCCCTCAAAGGTCCTGTCAGCTCTGACAAACCTCTCCACCTCCTGACTGCAGCTATCCCAGGAGAGAGCAAAGATACTGCTTTAACCCTTAGGAGGTCATCATAGAATCCCTGCATGGAACAGTGTAGACACAGAACACACTTCTCCTTAGGTATTAGAGAGTACCTCTCACTGTCATTATGTAGATCTGGGGAATGAAGTAAGGGATGGGAAGGAGGGGTGAGGGAAAAGGCTGAAGCTGAATGAATGAAAGAGGATAGAGCATAGTCTAGGGAGGCTGGCAGGACTCTTGCTCACAGCACCTAAGATAGTGGGTTCGTCAAAGTGGGTTGTATGGTGTAATCACTACCTAGTTTGAGCATCAGAATTGTCCTTGACATGCACTTAGTTTCCTTTTCTTTTGGATGAGAGCACTTTAAAAGTGCAATGAAATCTCTCAGCCTTGAGCTAGCACTGGAGCCAACTCTTGCATGCTGTTTGGAGTTCTGGCTGCCTTTTGTGGTCCAGTGGAACCCAACCCAACTGGGGCATTGCCTCCAACTCCCAGTGTGACGATCAGGCTCACATTAGTGATTTTTCCAATTTCTTCTCCTTGAGACCTCACCCAATGGGTCATAGAAGGAAGAAGAAAGGGAAATTACTTTTTAAAACAAACACATATCACTTAACATGATTATACACCAGGCGTTGTTCTAAGTAATGTTCAAATATTGACTTATACCAAAGTCTCATGCTAGGGGGTTTTGTAGCTATTATTTACTGCCATGCCTATCAGAATGAGAGCTGGAAACCACCCAGACACCGAGGCACAGGATTGTTGTTACCTGTGAAAGTGTTAACCAAATCTAAATCAGTCCTTACAACTGTGAGAGGTAAGTACACTAAACCCCATCTTATTTTACAGGTGAGGAAACTGAGTTTATAGAAACGTATATATTTCCACAGACGACACAGCTGTTAAGCTCCAGAGCCAAGCTGAAAACCTGAGTCTGCCTGACTGTAAAATCCAAGCTTCTTTCTCCACCTTCTTAGTACAGAATTAACCACTGAGGGGGGATGGACACACTGGTTCTCTCCTGTTATAATTTCAGCAAAGAGTCTTGGGCAGCTACCTTGTACAAGACTCTCCTGAAGGGCATAGCTATACCTCAAACATGGCACCATGAGCTCAGTCAACTTCCATAGGACAAAGAAGATGGGGGACTGAGACAAGATCTAGGGTGAGAAAGGAATGGCAAGGACAGCAACTACAAGAGCTGGGAATTGCTTTAGCATAACAGTGGCTAATTCAGGAAGAAAAACATGGTGTCAGGATACTAAGCATGAAAAAAACTAGAGTGCCCCCAAAAATGACAAGCAGTTTACGCATAGGCTTATTCAATAAACTGGATAAGGATGCAGAGAACACAGAGAAATCCAATAGGAGGCTCAGAGCCTTCAGTCCCTGGGTCGAGGCTTAGGGTAGTCTAGGATACCACAAGTTAACTGGTATGACCAAAATGGCTTGAAGAGTATGACAGAGCAGTCTCTAGTAATGAGATCGTCTCTCACCCCTGGCGATCAGAGCAGAAGCCCAGAAATCAGACGGAGCACTGAGACAGGCCCAGCCAGTGGTGAGGGCAAAGAATCCTCCAACATCACCCAGAAGCATATTCCACACTCTTTGAGGACTACCATTGTCAATAAGGTGGCAGAAGATAATTTTGGGTGGCCCTGGGCTGAGCAAAGTTCGCTGAATACTTTAGTGGTGATTTTTCACAGAGGCTTTTATATACTCAGATTCATTTTCGTATCCCTAAAAAGGAACATAGTAATTTCCAAAATGCGGTTAATCACAGAATTCCTTATTTTTTAACAGATGATTTCAATAGAGGTATCTTCTGGGACATCAAAATATTATTTGGAAAACAGTGACATACTGTTTCTTAATTCCATTCTCCACCTTCAAAATTGAAAATCTGTCCTTAAAACAGAGCAACGCTGTGCTGGCAGGTGGGATGCAGGTGTCTCTGTCATGCAGAGGAGGATGCAAGGCTGGGGACTGGCAGGGCTGGGCAGACACAAGGTGACTGATTCGTAGAAGTGTGGCTCACGTGCTCTGCAAGCCAGTCTTTTCAAAGAGGCAGTGGCACCTCCTTTTCCAATTGACCCAGGCCACACCATCGTTTATGTGATTCCTCTGCAGCTTTCTCTTCCCCCGTTTAAGGAATCAGACATTAAAAATAAAGTGTGCAGGGGCCAACAGGTGGCATAGTGGATGTGGCACTGGACTCCTACATGGCTCCCCGTGGTTCGAGTCCTGGACCTGGCAGCTTGACACTCACACCAGACGCTGTGCATGTGTGCCCAAAATCCTGAGAGAAAAATGGAGAAGGGATTGTGGCCGTGACCCCTGGGGCGGGAGGGAGTTACTGAGAAAGGGTTGATTTTTCACTCTGTCTCTCTCTGCGTCTCTGGTGAGCACACATATCCAACAGCAAAAATTTCTCTCAAAAAAAAAATAATAAAATAAAAACATGTGGGACCTGCCTTGTAGCACAGCAGTTATATGCTATGCCCAGGGAGTCAGATCCCACATGGCTGACCATGGTTAAAATCCCAGTTCTAGGGGGACCAGCAGTTAGCATAATGGCTATGTCACTGGACTCCCATGTAGTCAACTGCGGTTTGAGTCCCGGACCCGGTGGCTTAAAACTCATGCTGGGTGCATGTGCATGCATGCCCAGGATCCCGAGAGAAGAATGGAGGAGAAGGGATTGTGGCATGGCCATCCCCCCGGGGGGTGATTTATCGCTTTCTGTCTCTATGTCTCTCTCTGTCTGTCTGGCGAGCTCACACGCCCTATGGCAAAAACCTCTCCAAAAAAAAAAAAATTCCAGTTCTAGTGGCTTGGAAAATACACCGATATGTGTGTAGGTGTGTCCAAAATCCCGATGGGGTCAAGAAATGAAGGAAAAAAGGATTGTGGTGATACCAGGCCCTGTTAGGAGGAGATATGCTCTCTCTTCTACTCTCTGTCTCTTTCTCCGGTGCACATATGCATGAGCATGTACATTCTCTGGCAATAAATTAATTCGTTAAGCAATTTTAAAATGTGATATCTCTATAGAATGGAATATCGATCAACAAGGAAAAAACTAAGTATTGATGCATTCTACAACATAGATGAAATTCAAAAGCTTCAAACTAAGTGAAAGAGGTCA